GTTGTAAAATTTATTCATAATAAAAATTATTATGAGTATAGTTCTTCCTGTAACTTTATTTGCTAGGCGCCCCACAATTTGTGGATGCATTTATAATTGCTAGTAAAATGTATACTTAACCCTACATTATCTTTTCATCGAATTCCATCTAGTTATAAATATTTGAAATTATTAATGCTTTATAACATTGTAACTTAATTACCAAATTCAAGTGAATGCTGCGATACCTTCTGTAAGATGCGTCTCAAGTTTCTAACGCACTTGTACCAATAATTTACTGAGCGTGAACGATCGAGTTACAAATATAAATAAAACGTCTAAAATGTTACATAAATAGCGTATCGATATTTACGAGAGATGGTACTCCGGCCGTGGGAATTGTGCGTATTGACGAGTATCGTCTGCCAGCCTCATTGTAGTTCTAACAAGTGTAAGTCATATATTATTAAGACGACTGAAAATTACATGTTCTAGTTACACTGCCTCAATCAATAGGTCTACATAAATGCATTGTGTGTAATAACAAAACATTTTTTAAAAAAACGAGGACAAATAAGTTTTTTTGCAAATGGTACGCTAGTGGACAGCTTGTTGACTGTTGTCTAAACCAATTTTATAAAGAGGAAATATTTGTATTTTTGTATATATTTAAATAATTTAAAAACTATTGTGCCGATTTTAAAAATTCTTTCACCCTGCAAAGGCTACGTTATCAGTGACATAAGCTATAATTTTTTTTAAATATCACGAGGATGAAGTCGCAATCAACAGTAAATAAGTAGCTTGGCGACAAACTCGATGCAACGTACATAAGTCGCACGACTCCTTGATATTTTCAAATCGCGTCGCGTATTGTGATCGCCTTTAGCGGTTTACACTTATGTTAGGATACTTACTTACGTTACATGTAATTGAAGGGAATAGTTTACAAGCAGCAAAAACAATTACGGATTGCATATAATAAAACATATCTACTTTAGTATTATGCAAACGCATTTGTCTATTGCTTTATTTATGAGATGCCGATTACTGACCGACTAAGACGACCGTTTACATTATCTTATAATAGTTCATACTTCCAAGTGATTTTCCATAATTATTTATCATTTATATTTCCATTACTGTTTATAAAAATAAAAGAAATTGATATTACATTACTTAAATAACAAAACAACTAAGTTTTTAGTTTATTTTATGAAAATTTCTATCATACATACAAAAGCTTCTGTTTGGGATTAGAGATAGCATGTTTCTGCAGTGGAAACCTGCTGTATGATTTACAAATGTTTGTACACAACGTGTGAGTAACAAAACACTAACTCATTGACGTTTTCACTTCTCTAACAACACTTGTTTATACTTTGTTTAATCATCTACGTTGATTTATTATTGTACATTCTTTAACAGCTACGCCCGTAATTAGCATTCCAAGTTTATTTGTATTGCTAATAGTTAATACTACTTTATGTTGATACTTTTTTATTTATAGTAATACAAATACGTTTTATTTACTCGTAAACTTGAGGAGACATCATTTGTTTTTGAATCTATATCGTGCAAAATCGTTCAAAAACTTCTTAGCCATTTCTGACACATTGTTATACAAAAATTAATAAATGCCATAAAGTCTCATAATAGTAAAAAAAAACTTATTCAAAAATGATTTGTTTCATTATTAAGCGCATAGCATTAACATGGCTGTGTTCCAAACCTTATTCTATTTGGTAGTTGGTTTTTAATAAAAAAATGACGTTATCGCAGACGGCTAGAATATAGGAAGACATGACGGAATTGAAGGTTAAAATATATTATAAATTCTATTAAAAACAAATCTAATAAAGCTGTAACATATATTGAAGTGATGGAAATTAAAAATGGATCAAATTTATGCGCATAAATATTATTATCATGACTGGTTTGAAGTCAGTGTGAATACAAATATACAACAATCAAGTACTACTTTGTTATCCTTTTAGTCCTTTATTTTTATGCAGAAATATGATACATTAGTTCAAGAACAAATATTGTATGACTGGCTTAAACGTAAAAGTTAAATGAATTATAAAAAAAAATCTCTTCTTATTTTAAATTAATAATTCGTTGATTCATTAAAAAATCATTTTACATAGTTATTGCAAATAGACTTATGACGATGTGAAACAAGACATTTTATAGGAAATATACCATGTTATATATAAAATTATACTAATTGGCTGTGTAGTTATGTAACTGAATACAGAATGAACACGTCAATGACCTAGGACTATCGCAGAAATGCAACATGATATATGTCACAAAAATAAATTTCGTCATCGATCTTTCTAGATATTGTAGCATACTAGAATTATATGAACTCAATCAAATAATCTAAACTATACTACGTATAGAAAACACACGAAGAACGAGGTTATAGCACAAAAATTTTCCACAACGTCATCGGCAAAATTTTTATGAGGTTTTGTAGATTCCCGGCAGGAGCGCTACGCATATCTGATACTTATTTTCTTAATACTTTCTTGCAAATTTTAATACTCCGTGGTTTAAAGTGCGTTATACAAAATACCCTAGGACCTTCTTTGTCGTTTCCTTAACTTGTTAAAGGCCAAAAAGATTTCAAGACTCAAAGTAATATTTGAAAGGCAAACTTGGGTGTACAAAAAAAGGGAAAAAACAGTTTAAAAAGATAAAAAGACCTATGTTCAATTGTAAATAACACGCGTATCGTATAATATCAAGTAGGGATTTTTTAAACGTTATCCGCAAGCTTTTCTTAGAAATATTTATCTGTTATGAATACTATTTTGTCTATTATTTTTATATACGTAAGTATGTTAGACTTGATGTTTTCCCGTTTTTATTCTGATTTTATTTTAACACTTCTTAAAAAAATTAAATATGCACGCCATAAAAAAAATTAAAGTCACTTCACCCTTTTAGCTTAAAAGTTAATATTATTTCGTTTACGGAAAACGTAAAGTGTAACGATGAAATGATAGGAAGTTTAGTAATTAATTTAGTCAATTAAATAAAATGAAATAATTTATTTATCGTATGTGTTATGGATTAAATGTAAAAAATTCAAAACTTTACGTAAATATCATATTACAATATTTAACTGTTGATTTTTAACCCAAAGATGGAATGTTCAATAAAAAAGCGAAGCCGAATTCTACATATCATTTGTACGTGAAAGAATTCAGTGTACCGCTTGGAAGTAAGGTGGATTTTAACATTTTAACACAGACAGGAAATTATATGATTTTAACGCAGGTAACGTTTAATAATTCTAAAAGACTTCATAGAGAATCGAGATCTAAACAGGAAATCGATTCACTTTTATTCGATTCAACAAAATTCGCAAACGTGCTAATGATCTAATGAGTGGAGCTGCCGTGTCCTTGACTCCGCATAGATTGGCTTCTATGTTTATACGGAAGTGTAACACCTAATTAAGATGTACGTATTAATGACGAATCTTCAAAATGTAACCGCGATTTAAACAAAGTTGAACATTTAATAAAAAAAAAACTGGTTAAACTTTATCAATTAATTAGTCTCACGTTTTAATACTTATGGATTCTACGCCAATGTAAGAAATTAAACATGCCTTAATTATTGTATCACCAACCATAACTTGCAATTTATTTTTGCATATCAAATACCAGCTACTTTATACGGAAAAGCGCGCAAAATATGATGACAGTGTCATAATATGCTGAATATAAAATTCATAAACATGGATTTACTATAAAAAATCACGAAGAAGATAGATGATAAATTACGTTGTTGGTTTAAAAGTTATCCTCTAAAATAGGTATCTCATTAAACTGGAAACGAATTGTCACTGGTTAAACTAAAGATTTTAATTTTGACTCAGTACACGCAGAGCTTAAATATATATTAACGTTTATAATAACACGAACCATACGAATATATGGTCAAGGAAAATCACTTTAAATTCAAGTTTACGACGCCGTGAATAAACACACGACTTGGTGACATCTTGATTGATGGTAACAATTTAACTAAGTACTGTGGATACGTTTGGTACGAGCTTCATACAGTATTCCATTACGAATGAAAAACCGCTGCATATACAATTTGATTGAATATTGAAGTTCTTTATTTAAAACGTGGATGTGTTGTCTAAATATTTGAGAAACTTATGGTCGCTTCCCTGTTATTGTTTTATCCCGTAAATAAAGTACCAAGACGTTTTAAGCCTCACATTGGTAGTTAGGTACAATTTCAATTTCATGGTTTATTTATTCGTGGAACTAATTTTCGATATGTTAAAAATAATTTGTTTTCGTACTGAATATAAGTTTAGGAAAAAGTTCACGATAAAAACTTGTTATTTACCTATAAATGTATTGCTGCAATTAAAATTCTCGACGTGATTTGCAGCGAAACAGCACTGAAGTCTTTAAAATGAATGTTGTCGGATGCCTAAACTGTACCGACGACTTATCGGCGTTGTCTTGACTTTTAGATAATTGATTTGATTGACTGACCAGGAAATATTACAATAGTGTCCACAGATGGTTGTAATGTTAATGTATGTACATATTTTGACAACGGAGTCTTACATGAAATCCGTCATGCAGTACGATTCCAATTTGCTTCTCGTTCGTTGAGAGAAAGCTAATTATTTTAACTGCTATTAAATTTCAAATTGCATAATTTTGAAGCTATTAAATAGCTATTACAGTGCCATACTTTAATATACATAATTGTTGCCATATGTCATAAAAGTTGGTTGCATTAAAATTCAAACAAAAAAAATACGATATGTACAATCATAGAAACATCAACATAACTGTTTTATGTTAAAAGGTTTAACGTTACAGTAATTTATTGAGGTGTAAGGGTTGCATCCTTTCTTAAACTTAAAACTATCTAATACAATTTAACTTATAATATAACCAAAAAGTAAATAAAAATATCCAAAATGTGCTACTTAAAAGAAAATAATAAGAAAGTATAAAAACACCACGCACCCTTTTATTATCCACGTACTGGTATCACGTAGGATTGTTTAACGTATCACTGTTATATACACTTTTATAAGAGGCGAGTAGCGGATGTGTCGTCCTCTCGGCGCACGAACATCAACTGTCCGTCCCGCCGGCGCGCACCTTCACGACGTCTGATAACCGATAAGTATAGCCGATGAAAATGCATTACGAAAAACATCAAGTATGTAGTTACAATCAACAAAAGCCATGCAGAATTTTTTCTATATGATAATCGATGCGTTCGAGTTTAATTTTCATGTTGACTCACAATGTACGTAATCCTATTATTGCATTTTGAAACCAATAGTTTCTGAAAGAACCACATCATTGTTTTGAAGAGTTTAATTTCTTGATTTATAACATCTTCTTGAAAGGTGCTGGGTTGCTGAAGTTACCATTTATTTTATTCATTAGTGTTACGTTGAACTCAATCAATATTTCGATAAATTACTATAAATTACATTTAAAACGTGTATTCAATCAAAAATAAGCATCATGGAAAAGTTTAAAACTTCATGAATAAATAACAGATTGGAAAGTTGTTTATCATAACTGTGAATGAAATTTTGGTATTTACACTCACTTTTAAAAACGCAATTTTAAGGTGTGTGTTTTTAAAAACATTATATAAGGACCTTTCAAGTTTTTGAAAAATCGATTAAAAAAAAACATCATTATTCACCTGATTCTTTAATTCACCATCAAGCACAATTCCTACACCATTTTTTTTGCCATCACACCCACAATAATATAACTTGTAGCCTTCCCCTATTTCTTTTGCTTTCATACCTTTTGAGTTAAATGACGAAAACGATACTTGTAATAACATCGTATCAAATAAACAACAAAACAAACTTCGGCTCTTCTAACATTATTGTCGATAAACAACTAAACAAAAAAGCATCTGTAACCAATAGCCATTTTCCAAACAAATTCTTTAATATCTATCCAGAATTGAAGTCCTGATAATAAGTTAAATATTACGTTAACGTAAAGAGTTACCTTTATTTTGATAAATACCTATTAATGTAACAATTAAACTTTTATTAGAGACAAGTATCAGACTAGAATAAAATAAAATTTCGTAATACACGACACTATAATCTGTGATTTAGTCAATCCGCAGAATTTTAATACGTCAATCTTACTATAAATTTCTTAGTAATAATCGATGATCCGAACAGGTTTTTAAAGCATAAATATTCGTATTTTTATGTAAGTCTAGCATTACTAAGGTTGTTGTAACTTAGGCCGTTAAGGAAATATTCTGAGATTCTTTAATGTTTTCATTTGTTACGATGCTTGTCAGATATTTCGGTAGTTAATAAGACAGTAAGATTAAATCATAACTGTCTTAAATCATTTTTGCTTATCTAAAGTATATTATTCCTTTAGCTGTAAATATCAACTGATTTAAAATGAATAATGCACTCGAAAATCCCATTAAACGTAGAGCAAAATTAACCCTTATTCTACAAGACTGTTGTTTATCAAAACGCATTTTAAACAAAAACATCTGTTATTTACAAAACCGCACCTGTTAATAATCTGTGCACTTGTTTTATTACCGACCAAATTAATTTCGTTTAGACGAAAATGGCGCTCGCCGTAATAATATAATTATACAATCTATGCTGTCCTTACCATTTGTTGCCCAATTTTAATGATCAGCAACTTAACGAAAACTCAATCGGTATGTGCTTTGGTAATACATTGTTCATAGACTCACAATAAAAAATATTCAACTAATTATAAAAATTGTTTTAATTATTATAAAACTGTTAGGTTGTTTTTTTTTTTAAATAGTAATGACTAAGAAAAGAGTCATCCGTACTTAATAGGTCGATAGAGGGCCGTCTTCCGTACTTAGAGTCCCAACTTTAGTCCCTTTTCCTTCTCACCCTTTTTCTTATAAGAATACGATAGAAAGGGAGTGTGGATTTTACGGTGGAGGAGACGCATAGGAAGAGGAAATATCCTCTTTATGTGCGTCTCTTCCTCTGTCGATTAAGGGTAGGCAACGCATGCGCTATTGCGAATGTCTATGGGAACGGTCGCTTCTTATTTATGCTTTACAAATATTATTTTAATACTAACTTGGGTACTGTGTCCTTGAGAAATCTGTTACGAGTTTATAAAAAGGATTTTACAAATGTTTTTGTCATTTTGTACCAACTCTTGAATTTAAATAAATAAAATGACGACATGCTGTTAAAAATAACATCATTCACAAAATCAACATTTTTAAAGTGTTATAAGTACATGTGTTTCTCCAAATAAGGATATATCAGTTTTGAGGTAAAAAGGTACATTATCGTCTGTAAGGACACTAAGAAAATATCGAAAGTCAATTTGTAAACAAATATTAAATGTGGTCGGTACTAATTAATAACTCAGTGTTCAAAATCGATCAACAGATAAATCTGCGGAGTTAGAGCGGACGCACTCCTATGATCAAACTATCGCACAACTATTGTGCGATGTTCGATTGTTTCGCTGCTAATTCAACTTTTTAATTGCACAACTAAAAATCGAGTAGTGTGTGCACCTCTATAAAAACTCTAAAAATCAAAGCGCGACTAAACAGTTATGCGATAGTTTAATTACAGGTGTGAGCGTGCTCTTAATAACAGATTAAGTATCTTAGGAAAATCATCATTTTAATGTATCTACAGAAAAAGTCGTCTTAAGTTTTCAAAATAACATTTAAGCAGAGAATAATTGCATTTAAACATTTTGTTACGATTGTTCTGATTATTTTCATTATGTATAATCCGCAATTTTAATCCTTATTTATGTTCAAACTCTCAGGAAGTAGAGCGTCTGACATAATAATACCGTACTATTTAGTACAGTAGGCGGCACTCTATACAATTAACGCTACATACATCATTATAATCTGCCTTAAGCGGTTCACCTCTTCTGGATAACGTATACTTAGTCTGTAAGCCTACGCACTGTAGCTATACAAGCTGTACCCATTCCGGGTTACCATACGAAGTTAAAAAATGAAGCATAGTGCGAGCAAAAAATTTACCTATAAAACGAATAACATTTCTTTGAGAACAAACACACACGGGTCTTCTCAAATTAACTTACTATTATATAGTATAAGAATAAAGCGTTCAACGATTAAGGAATCCGACGAGGAAAGATTTAAATAGATACATTTACTAGCTTTCGCCCGCGACTCCGTCCGCGTTGAACAAAAACAAAAGTTACTAGCCTATATGTTCTTCCAAACTACGCTCTACAGCTATGATAAATTTCATCGAGATCCGTTCAACCGTTTAGGGCTACAAACTCTAACAAACATCCATCCATCAAAACTTTCGCATTTATAATATTAGTAAGATAAGATTTATACTCTAATAGGCGATGTTAAACCTTGATAATTATTTCTTTTAATGGTATATCATCTCGTGATAACCATAAAACATTTTTTTCTCACAATACCATCGTTCAGTAGAAGATTGGCAAATAAATCAATATGAATTACAACTCCAAAACTGTTATTAAATAACATTACTGCAATAGTATTTCGCTGCTTATTTTACCGGGCAAAGGTCTCTTATTAAAATTATTCACGTGCCACGATATATATTTGTAGAGAAAATCGTACTTAAGATACTTTGTACGATTGGTTTGAAATATTTTTTCGCGTAAGGATTAAAAGAATTTTAAATGTAATAGGAATAAGTGCAGATACTCGAAGTTTCGCAATTTTCGATTGTAAGAAAATGTGAAGTGGATAGTTTTCGCAAAAATATTTGTGGACATAAATTGCTTATGGACTTACACTAAATGTTCGTTTATGGCAACATCGATTGCAAAATATTAAATTATTATTACTATACATCAATTATGTCGCAAGTGAATTCTTTAAAATACCGATACAACATGATAAAGTGAAGAAACGTATTATACAGAACATAATAATATTATTGTATTTTTACGCTTTACTAATATTAAAAACAAAAGAATTCACTTTGTTTCAAGTAAATCGTAAGAAATTATATCAATTTAATAATTCCGTTGGTTGTCCAAACCTGAATAAGATTGTTTTATGAAAGCTGTTTAAACCAATTATATCATTGTTATCTGGTTTCATAAAGAATAGATATTACTGTTTACGGAAACTTGACATTTAAGTAAGTAATTTGAAGGGCATACTTCTTTTTAGCACAATGTTATTGAACTGCATGTTATGCTTTTGTTGACAGTATACCTTCATTGAAGTAGCCAATTAATAGCCGGTTTCGCAACGTTTTAAAGTTTCATTCGTTCAAACTACGTAACTTGAGTTTTACGTCAAACATAGGTTAACCTAACTCTTAATAATCGCTGAGTAATAATAAAGCAAATGGAATCTTCAGAAACTTAGCATAAAAAACAATATTGAATATTTTAAAGCTTTTAATTTTGGATGAAATTATTGTAGTTCGTGTTACCGCTGAATAGTGGTTAGCGGTTTTAAATGAGATTAATCATCTTTTAGCATCTTAAATGGCACACAACAGTCGACTGTCGTTAATAATGAGGTCTAAAGATTGTCCGTGAGTCGCTACTGTGACTTAAACGTGCTAAATTACCGCAGCCGTCTGTCCAAGCCTCGGTAAGTAACACGATAAGAAGATTAAGGACTGACCTCCATTATGATAAACGTATATGGATAACAACAGACAAAAGATCGCTGACCGCATTACACGACGAAATTAATTTTAAACAGACTTTTAAACGTAAAGAACAACATTTTTTTTATTTATTGCAATTGTATGTGCATTTATCTATACATATAATAAAATTGGCGTGTCTGTTTGTAATACCAAAAGAAAAATTCCAGATTTCGGGAAGATGATGTATTTGCATTGCTGATAACGAAAATCGAATTTAAAAATTCTTGTCTGTCGGACTGTGTGTCTCCTGTCTGTCCGCAAGCCGCGTTTGTTTTGGGGAATCTCCGAAACGGCTAGGCCAATTTCGACGGGAACTTCCCTGGAGGGTAGCTGACATGGATAGGCATATTATAGGCTACCTTTTTTTAATTCCGCGCTTTCAAAATGGCGTAACTAATTTTTTTTTTAAATTAATGATACGGAAAGGGTGGATAAA